TGTGATCACTCTGTGTGATGACCATGTTCTCACTATGTGTTGACCCTGTGGTCACTGTGTGGTGTTATAACATAACACACTGTGATTTTTTTTCACTCTGTGTTCCCTGTAAATCCACAGTGTGGTGACAGGGTGTTCATTATGTGAAATTTACAAACACAGTGTGAACACGTAGTGAACACTGTGTCAACTATGTGAAATCTATGTGAACACACTGTGTACGCACTGTGGCATTTTCCTAAGGGATCAGGTACAACATTTTATCAACATAGTATTACCAGACATATCCATACAGTACAGTTTTATAATCATCAATAATTATCCTCTTATCATCTACAATAGTCTTCAGTAGTTGCTTCATTCACGATTTTCCTCGATTTGGGCTTTCTAGTTATACGATTAGACTCGGTAGTATTTATTTTATCTGGTCCAACACCCCTAACCATACAACTAACCGTTTCAAAATTTATCTTTTTGGAATTCTGAAAATTTAAAGTGAAACCTTTAACTTAACACAACGTCTTTCCCGAGTGCAGCTTATACGCATACTTTTTAGGACCACCAGACACAAAGCACGTTATAAATTTATGTACTATACTTTATCTTCGTTTAGTTCTCCCTCTGTCCAAATTTCCCCCAGAATGAATTAAGCATTAATTTAGCAAGTGAGCGAAGCCATGCGTTATAGGCAATGTCTACTTTAATTAATTTAGTACCCTCGTTTTTTTCATAATCTTCAATGTATTGCTCTTTTTCAACATCGGTAACGCACCATTCGGGCCATCCTAAAGCCTCTTGTTTCAACTTTAAAAACGTGTTGATATATTCAGTAAATAAATAAGCTGACGGGGTTAGTAGGGTTATATTCACTTCTTTGGGGGAAGTGCTTTCTCCAGTGGTAACCCATGTACCAGTTAAAACCCTTTTGTCACTAGTATGCGTATATGAGAAATCCTGACACGGATTTTCAACGTAAGTTAAAAGTATACGGAAGAACAAGGTGTAGCAAATTTTAGGCGGGTCTACTACACACTTAATTAGGCCGAAATAATCAATTATATCTGTTGACATATTTTTAGATGCCAACAATTCCGGATGGTCTACAGGGTAAGTTCCATATTTATTACAGTAGAGATATAGGCTAGTGTAATCTACGTACTGAATTTCTTCGTAAAATAGTCGCCGGACATTAGTCATTCCCCCAAGGAAAGCGTCTCGCGGATTAAGGGTGGGGTGAATGAAAGGAACATTAAAAATGTCTCGCTTCTCAATGTGGAGTTGACGATCTCTTAATTTCCTTCCATTCATGCTCCCACACTTCTACGTACTCAAACTCGGGAAAACATTCCTTGAGAAACTCAGATGTTTGTACCGTCTTTAGATATGAATCGGACATACGTACATCCGTAAAGGGATTCTTTTCTCTGCACGGTTCAAATTGTTGCTCACCCCCGTTTTCGCGCGTGATTAATATGTATTCCCCTTCGTTTTTATTCTTACCGTCGTTGAGTACCATAACATATTTCTAAACGTTAGGCAACACTTTCTTAAAATATCTACATGACTTATGCAGTGATCTATACGAGTTCCTGTTTCAAGTTAAATACTTCGTTTTGTTTCTGTTTGTAGGCCTACCAAGCCAGAAGATCACCCCCAGCCGATTCTGGCATCTTATCGGGATCGTACATAGATATACGTTAGGGTAAGATCTCACATAATCTTAATTTTTTATAGTATTGAACCTTTTTGGAAAGTAACCCTTCTTTAATCTATTGATACCTTAATGTTTTAGGTAATTTTGATAGAGGCATGGGTAGGAAAGAAAGCGAATCAATAAATCGAATCGATGTATCCTGAACTCGTCGTTATCCTCCTCTGATTCAATATCTCGCATTCTCTTTAGTACCGGATCAGGCTGAAACACAAGAAAAATATATTTAAATACACCATAATCCGTTTTTATCATGATAATTTAACCAAAACAGAAACTAAACATAGGCCTACCAATTTTTTAGCGTGTTTTCCTGATCCGAATTAAACTATTACGTTTTTATCGTCATCGTAGTTTTCGTAGTTTCCTGTTCATCTTCATACATCATCT